TCTTTCACCCAAATAATAGACAAGAGTATAAAACATTAACACCATGAAGAATGTTCTCCTTAGAACAAACAACTACAGGAGACCAAAAGGACTTCATTTGCCCAAAAACAAAGATGTGAAGACAAGGAGTCAGGTAAACTGGATGAATGGAAATGGGCAACCTAAGAAAGAAATAGGGAAAGTGCTGACTCATTGTGGGGTTGTAGGAATTGCAACTAATGTCATGGAACAATTTGTGTTTGAACAATTGATTGGAAAACTAATTTGCTATGTAATCTTTCAGAAGCTCTCGTAGCATAGTGCCTAAGGCACTTGACTGCTAACCAGAAGCCTGGCAGTTCAAACCCACCAGCCACTCCTCAGAAGGAAGGTTGGGCAATCTACTTCCGTAGTGATACCACCTCGGAAACCCAAGGAGGGGTCGCTGTGAGTCGGGGTCAACTCGATGGCACACAACAACAACAACAACATGTAATCTTTCACCTAAAGCACAATAAAATGTTTGGAGAGGAAAAAAAAAGAAAAAGATGAAGGGGTCCATGAGCCAGTGAGTGTAGTGAGCCTGTAGAAGCTGGAAACAACCCTAGCCAAATGATAGCAAGAAATCTGAGACTTATTTCTATAACCACATGGAACTGATTTCTATCTATACCTGAATAATTCTTCCCAAAGCCTCCTAGTAGACTTCAGCTGACCAACTCCTTGACTTTAGCCCTGTAAGGTCTTGACCTAGGGGCCCAGTTGAGTCATGCTGTGCCCAGACTTATGACCCACAAAAGTTGTGAGATAATAGTTAAGTGTTGTTTTAAGCTGCAGAAAAAAAAGTGCTTGCAAGACCCTAGCCTTCTAGAAACTTCAACCATAGCCACTCCCTTTTTTATCAGTTTTATGTAGATAGTCTTATTGTTCTCAATCCCTTCCCCAAAAGAAATTTGTATACTACTTGTTATGAATTGAATTGTCTTCATCCCTGTACCTGTAAATATGACCCTTTTTGGAAACAGATGTTTTCTTTTTTGTGTTAATGAGACCTACTAGAATATGGTGGGTCCTGAACTTAATCCCTTTTAAGTGGTGTCTTATGCTGGTGGTTCAAACTCACCAGCCACTCCCCGGAAGGAAAGTTGGGCAATTTACTTCCGTAGTGATACTGCCTCGGAAACCCAAGGAGGGGCCACTATGAGTCGGGTCCAACTCTACGGCAGTGTGTTTGCTTTTTTTTTTTTTTTTAATGAAAAGGGAAGACAAGACACAGACACACACAGGGAAAGACAGGTGCCATGTTAAGACATATCTACAAGCAAAGGAAGCCCTGGGCTACAGAAGCAGAAAGAAATAAAAATCTTCCTTTAGAGAGAGAGAACAAGGAGGCCTTGCCCTACCTAGCGCCCTGAACTGTGAGAAAATAAATATTCTTTAAAGCCAAAAAGGAAAGGGAAAAAAAAAGATATTAAAAGAATGTATTGAGAATAGAAATCTTAAGACTTCTATTTCAGACTGTGTGGTATTTTAACTCCTATACAGTGTTTCATTGTATAATGATATAATTTATTTCTATAGCCCCCAGTTAGTAGACATTTATATTTTCCCCCTCACCCCTGGTTCTTGTAAGGAACATTATAAATTCATTCTTGTGCATAAATGTAGCTCAGAAATACCTACCTAGAAGTAGAATTGGACCATAAAGTATATCTTTTCAACTTTGTTATTGCAAAGTTGTTTCCCAACCAGCAGGGTATGGTATTTCCATTTCTCTATATTCTTCCTGATGCTTGTTATTATCTGATGGATGTAAAAATGATATATTTTCATTTTTTATTTCCTTAGTGACCAGTGGCCTTTATCATCTTTATCTGTATTTATTGACCACTCAGATTTTATTTTCCTTGAATTTCTTATTCATAGTTTCAATTTAAAAAGTCAGACTTACACTTTTTTGTTATGAAGTGTGATTATTGTATCTTTTACAAGAAATTTTTTAGTATATTAATATCCTAGGGATATTCTCCTTTTTTTCATATTTTGCCTTTCATATTAGGTCTTAGAATCTATGTAGAATTTATTTTTATGAATGTGAGGTAAAGATATGACTTATTTTTTGTATGTAAGGATTTCTATCCCAGCACTATTTATTGAAAAATGTATTTTCTTTTGAAATGTAATGCTTCCTCAGTCATTTGGCCAGGTTTCAGTATATGTGTGGTTCTTTCCTTTTCTTTTTTAAGATTTTTTTATAGTTTTTCTTTTTTCTGCCTGTTTACATATCCTATGTCAGTACTAGATTGTTTTAGTAACTTTGGCTTGATAACGATTTTTGATAATCTGCTAGAAGTGCCCATCCTTATTTTTTGCCTATAAAATTATCCTGAGTAGTCTTTCTTGACTCTTTAACTTGTCATCTTGGGAAATTAAATTTGGGATCAAATTTGTCAAGTTCCATTAAAAAACAAGCCCTGTTAGGATTTTGTTTGAAATTCAAGTGTAGAGATTAGTTTGGTGAGATTTAGTGGTTTTGTGCCTTTTTTTTTTTTTTTTTTTAATTTTTATCATGATTTGGGTGAAAGTTTACAGAGAAAATTCATTTTCCATACAGCAGTTCATACATATTTTGTTTCATGACATTGACAGCACTTTCCCACAGTGTAACAGCTCTCTTCCCACTTCCTCCCCATCGTTACTCTTCCCTGTGTCCTTCTCTCCCATGCTCTCCTGCCTCCCAAGCTATCTTCCTGTACATACACAGCCCTTTTATTCTCCCATGACTAATTTCTCCAAGAAGTGTATCTACCTAATGTAAATGTTCAGCTCATATGCCTGTCTTGTTTGGCTGGAAGCCACAAGTGTGGATTCATTTCCAAACCTGAAGGGCAGCAGGAGGCCGTAGTCTTAGTGGTTCCACCAGCCTCTATCAGACCAGCACACCTGGTCCTTTTTTTTTTTTTTTTATTGTTTTTGTTTTTTTTTCCACATTGTTCTTCCATTCTATCCAGGATCTCCTACGTAGATCTCCCTCTGAGAGGTTGACACTGGTAGCCAGGCACCATCTAGTTTTTCTGGTCTCAGAGTCATATAGGCTGAGGATCACATGGTGTACCAGTCCCTAGGACTAATTGTTTCCATGCATCTTTGGTTTTCTTCATTCATTTTTGCTCTGGATGAGGAGAGACCCATTGTTGCATCTAGATGGCTGCTTGCAAGCTTTTAAGATCCCAGTCGCTACTCACTAAAGTAGGAGGTGGAACAATGTTTTTCTGTAGTATGTTATGCCAATTGAGCCATATGTCCCCTGTGACCATGGTCCCAAGCCCACAGGTCCAACTACTCACTCCCTCTGGGTAGCTGGCTGTGGCTAAGAAGTCACCACAAACTTGTCCCTTGTCAGCTCTACTATACACCTGGGAATTCTTACAGAACATACAGATATGCTTGTAGATACATCATCTGCCAACTCTATACGTGGTCATGGGCACATTCCCTCCTGCCTCGACATGCTTGATTGTTCAGCCTGTCCACCCATCAGTATACCCTAGATCAATGTTTGCCTTCACTGACAAATACATGGTCATGGGCACATTCCCCCTGCTTGATTGTTCAGCCTGTCCACCCTTCTATATACCCTAGATCAATGTTTGCCTTCACTGACAACACAGTATTGTGTGTGCAAAACAGTTCATCTTTGTTATCTCTATCTCCCATGTACCTCTTCTCTTCCTCAGTGCTGCTGTGTTGATCACTCACATTTGGTGCATTGCCCTTCCCTTCACCCAAATCAATACTTGTCTCTACCTATCTGAATGTGTTCCTTCCCCTCCCCTCCCACTCCTGGTAACCAATAAAGAAAGTTTCCTATAAACCTTTCCTTGACTTTTCACAATAGTGAACTAATACAGTATTTGTCCTTCTGTGATTGACTTATTTCACTCGGCTTAATGTCCTCCAGGTTCATCCATGTTATGTGGTGTTTTGCATATTCTGTGTTATTCTTTAGGGTTGCATAGTATTCCATTGTGTTTATGTACCATAGTTCAGTTATCCATTCTTCTGTTTATGGGGATCTAGGTTGTTTATATCTTTTGGCAATTGTAAACATGGGTGTGGATATATCTGTTCTTGTCCTGGCTCTCACTTCTTTAGAATATATATACCTAGTAATGGAATGGCTGGGTCAAATGCTATTTCTAATTCCAACTTTTTATGGAATTACCATACTGCTTTCCACAATGGTTGTACCATTTTACAGTCCCACTAGCAGTGTATGAGAGTCCCAATCTCTCTGCATCCTTGCCAGCATTTGTTATTTTCTGTCTTGTTGAGCTTTGCTACCAGGGCTGGGGCAAAATGGTATCTCGTTGTTTTCATTTGCATCTCTCTAATGGCTAATGTTTGTGAACATTTCTTTATGTGTTTGTTGTGGTTTCATGCTTTTGATTGAGTCTAACAGTCCTTTTATTTGTTCTTTTATGCCCTTCAATAGAATTTACTAATTTTTCCTTAATGGTTAAAGAGTGGTTGAATAATTTCTTTTAGAAGGATCAGCACAAGACTGGTTTCTATGAGGCAGATGTTAAAGATGTCCCAAATTCTGACGTTTCCAAACTGCTGTACTGCTCTGTCATCTCTAGCATCAACTACTCCTCCTTTCCTCAGTACTCTCCCCCTTACATCTTAGGGTTCCATATTTAGTAAGGTGATGCCTTAAGATACATCCCACCTTAATCCTCCTTCATAGTTACAGACGGTCAGTTTTATAATATATCACAAAATGGAGGCTGTGACTAGAGGGGCCATATTAAGTAATTCACCGCACTACAAATGATAAAAAATAAAGATAGGGATCTTGCCCTAGCAGATTTCAAGAATCATTATAAAGCCACAGTAATAAAACAATCTTTTTTTTAGAATTTTTAATCTTAAATGATGCTGGTATGTAATTTTCTGTAGTTGAATTAAGCCTTGGTGTTATTTTGATATCAAAGTTATGCTAGAATTGTATTTTTCAGCTTGCAAGCAATACTTTGAAAAGTACCCGGGAGATCATGAACTCCTTTGGGAAGTTGAAGGTGTTGGACACTGGTACCAGAGAGTACCAGTTACCAGAGCATTACAGAGAGAAACACTTAAAATTACAGGTAAGAATGCTTCAATTTCAACACAAGTTCAACTTAGAAGTCATTGCTTAGTAGTGGTTGTATCTTCTTACAGTGTGCTGTAGTGGTCGGGTATAATATGCACTCTCTGAAACAGACCCTCTTGTCTGAAGTTTGAATTTTTATTGTGCATTAGCATTTGAGTCACTGATAATAAGGGGACCTAGAATATGGAATAGCCCAGTTGAATGTAGCAGCCTAGAAGGAATTGGTGGGTAAGAAATAGACCCAGATTATTAAAATAGCAAGAATAGTCATCAGGAGATCAAAGGTAGCCCCCGATCGCATATATCTCTCCCAAAAGCCACTAAATACAAAGAACTATTTAAGACTCTTTATAGTTGTAGTATTTCAATATATGATACTGATGAAAAGGACATCCCATACCTAGATTTTTAATATCCTTCTGTCTAGGCTGCTCTTCAAGGCTTTTATAAACATTAGTACAGACACTGTTACAATAAAAACCAAATACTGATTGGTTTGCAATTTTTAAAATTCTTCCACATGCAGCAGCATCTCAAAATGAAGCTCAAAGACCTGTGTTGGGAGAATATGGTCTTGCATCTGTTCCAGAATATGAAGCGGGAACCGGAGACAATCAGTCTAGTGAGGTGCATCTGACTGTAGGTACACTGTATATTTGTTGGAGGAAATAATTATTATGTGTTTCTTAAAAAGATAGCTTATATTTAAATTTTTAAACATGATAGTTCATTCAACCAACATATTTAATATCTTGGTACCATTTGTTAATTAATGACTTTGGAGGAAAATATAATTTATTCAAGATAACTTTATAATGTCCAGTTATGCTGCCAAAAAGTTCAGTTACTAAAGAATTAATTTTCTTTGAAAAATAATTGTAATGATAGTAATAGTATTATGTTAACAGTATACTAGTTAAAGGAATGTGGAAAACACATAAAATCATATAAGAAAATAAATATCTGTAATCCTACCACCTGACTATAGCCATTATTAACATTTTGGTATATGTACTGAATATCATATATTATAAAACATGTATCCACACACATTCTCTCTCTCTCTCTTTTTTTTATGTTGGTTCTAACTGCTTTTCTTGCTTGTTGTAAGTGTTTTCCATGCCATTACTGTTTAAAAACATGATTGGTACATAGCAATGCACCTTTCTGTTATATGTAAATACCATCATTTATTTCTTTGTTGTTGTTGTTGTTTGCTATCGAGTCGGCCCCGACTCATAGCGACCCCTCCTTGGGTTTCCGAGCAGTATCACTATGGAAGTAGGATTGCCCAACCTTCCTTCCGAGGAGTGGCTGGTGGGTTTGAACCACCAGCCTTCTGGTGAGCAGTCAAGTGCCTTAGGCACTATGCTACCAGAGCTCCTTTTATTTCTTTAATGTAGGATATTTACATAACTTTTTACATTTATAGGTGGCCCAACATCCCAACAGTGAACACATTTATACATGAATCTTTGTGCTATATAATTATTTCATTGTTTATATAAATTTCTAGAAGTGAATTAATAGTAGGTCAATGTTTGTGAAGTTGTTTTGGAAAGTTTCAGGCTGTGTATATGCTAGGTCTTTGTAGAATGTAATGTGCTTTTCAAATATTAGACGTCATGAATAGTAGGATAGGTCCCATTACACTGCACTCTAGAAGACTTGTTGTTGTTGTTGTTATTTGCCATCGAGTCAGCCCCGACTCATAGCGACCCCTCTTTGGGTTTCCGAGGCAGTATCACTACGGAAGTAGGATTGCCCAACCTTCCTTCCGAGGAGTGGCTGGTGGGCTTGAACCGCCAGCCTTCTGATTAGCAGTCAAGTGCCTTAGGCACTATGCTACCAGAGCTCCTCTAGAAGACTTATCAGGTCCTTTTTAGAACTGATATTACTCAAAGTATGGGTTTGTTGATGGGATTATGGAAATCTGGTTTTATGCAGTTTTGTAGGGATGGCATTCATTATAGTCATATTTGTTTTTGTACATAGCTATCTTCATATATTTTTAGTGAGTGTTGAATATCCATGTGTAAAAATGCATGTGTATTTCAGAGAGAGATGCTTTGGGGAATTATTTGTGTTTATTTCTTGCCTCAGTTAGTATGAGAGAGAGTTCACTATTGGAGTGAAAAAATTTGGAACCTTTTTAAGGATTGTATAGATAATATAATAAATATATGTATATAAGGAGTTAAATAGCTGGGGCGATAGGTTTGGAGCAGCTAAGGGAGACCAGGAAGTGAGCGGAGCGGTTTGGAACAGCTGAGGGAAATGAGCTTGTCTGTCAGTTTGTCGTACTGTGATAGTTGCTAAGACAGACTCAGAAGAAGGAGGAGGCAGGCCATCCACTTCTCAAAGAATTGGCCATTGAAAACCTTATGAATAGCAGTGAAATACTGTTTGATATATTACTGGGAAACTTTATGAATAACCCTGAAACATGGCCCAATATAGTGTTGGATAATAAGCCCCTCAGATCGGAAGGCACTCAAAATACGACTGGAGAAGAGCTGCCTCCTCAGAGTAGAACTGACCTTAATGATGTGGATGGAGTAAAGCTTTTGGAATCTCCATTTGATGATATGGCACAACTCAAGATGAGAAGACACAGCACAGACATCCATTAATAATCAGAACATGGAATGTATGAAGTCAGCTGGAATGCTTCTTAGAAGCGAGAATGGCCAGACTTTGTCTCACTTACTTTGATCATGTTGTCAGAACGGATCATTCTCTGGAGAAGGTTATCATGCTTGGTAAAATGGAGGATGAATGAAAAAGGGGAAGGCCCTCAACAAGGTGGATTGATGCAGTGACTACAGTGATGGGCTTAGGTAGAGCAGGGATCGTGAGGCTGGCACAGGACTGGGCAATGTTTCTTTCTGTTGTCACTATGAGTCAAAGACAATTTGATGGCACTTAACAACAAACAAGGAGTTAGATTTTGTTTTCTTTTCATTTTTTCTGGATTCAGTCTTTATTTTTTATTTTAAGAGCTTGTTTTACATTCAAAGTCATGCATATATTTAGTTTCATTCCCCATTCACCATGTCCGGCCCTAACCCAGTCTCCTCCCCTCACTACCCTGCAACACTCCCCCTGTGCCCCTCATAATTATGCACTCCTGTTTATCTTGCATTTCCTCAGTTTGAATGTTGGACCTTTGGTGTCCCATGGTCTGTTGCTTTAAGGGATGTATTACCATTGAGTGTGTGGGTGCAGCATCCTGGGTTGAGTGGTCTGTGTGTACATCTCGCTAACCATTGGGCTGAGAGCCCGCCCCTGGGGGTGAGTTTTATTCCAGG